AGGTCAGTACTCACAGTATGAATGTTGACTGAACAACATGTAGGATCGTCCTTCCTAGATAAGGCATCTGCTGCTATATTCGCCTTACCTTCTTTATATTCGATGGTGAAGTCGAGTTCCATCAGTTTGATCAGCCACTTCTACTAGAATGATGTTGTTAATCTCTAATCTAATATGTATTTTAAGCTCCGGTGGTCAGTTTTGATGACAAATCGCCTGTTCAGCAAGTAGTGTCTTCACTTTTGAACAGCAAAGACCACTGCAAGTAGCTCTTTCTCATATGTAGACAATGCCTATTGCTGTGAACTAAGAGCCCTGCTAATGAATGCAATTGGGTGGTACTCCTGCATTAAGACTGCTCCTATTCCATACCCACGAGCATCCACTTCTAAGACAAATTGCTTGTTGAAATTAGATAATGCTAGTATAGGAGCCTGGATTAACAAGGACTTCAACTTTTAAAATGCTTGCTTGGCTTCCAAGGTCCAAGTGAAGTTGTCTTTTTTCAATAGTTCACTGATTGGTTTTGCAATGTCGTCAAAGAAAATTAAGAGGAATTGTCTCAGGTACTCCTGAAAGACTGAATTCATAAGGCCTTGAAAGGTTGCCGGGGCATTGGTGAGGCCGAATGGCATTACCAAATACTCATAATGCCCCCCATGAGTTTTAATGCATTCTTGTGGACGTCCATAGGGTGCTTTCTGACTTGGTTGTATAACCTGATCGGAGGTCTATTTTTGAGTAGATGACGGATCCATGCAATTCATCCAAGAGTTCTTCCACAAGAGGGATTGGGAATTTATCCTTAATAGTGGCTTTATTGAGTTCCCTATAATCCACACAAAGTCTCCAACTGCCATCCTTTTTCCCTCCTACGACTTCAGGACTAGCATAAGGACTGTTGTTTGCCTGAATGATGCCTCTATTCAAGTACTCCTTAACCAGTTTGTCTATGACATCCTTCTGATGTTTTGCATACCTGTAGGGTCTCTTATTCACTGGGTTGCTTCCCTGAATGAGGGGAATTTTATGATCATGGTCTGGTCTCACAGGTGGCAATTGTGTTGGTTCCTGAAAAACATCTTTAAATTCCCCTAGGATGTGTTGTATCTCTGGTGTAGGAGCAGGTAGCTGTCCATGTGTTGTCAAGAGTGTTTAACAAAGCACCTTCGTGGCTGCATAATTGTATCATTGAAAGATGTACTCTTTTAGTAGTAGTTCTTAGTTTTTTTCTCCTCATTGTCTTTATTCCTTGTAGCTGAGCACCCCTTAAAACATGCTTTCTTCCATGTACATAAAATTGCATACTTAATTTATCAAAGTTCCATGTAATGTCACCCAAGGTTATCACATCATTCCAACGGTAATAACATCATGTCCGAAGTAAACATTGTTTGCTGTATTGACCAGTTAAACTCTTTGACCACAGCTTCTATATTTAACCTGTTGCGATCTGCTAAAATAACATGCATGGGTTCCACTTTATCAATCTGACAGCCTAACTTCTGGGCAATGTTAGCGTCCAAGAAGTTGTGTGTACTGCCACTGTCTATAAGGATATGCAAGGGTTTCTTCTTGTAGTAACCAGTAATTCGCAAAGTTTTAAAGTTGGGGATACTTGTCAAAGCATGTACTGAAATTTGTGGTTCACCTACGTCATCTGTCTCTGAATCATGCAGTTCTTCCTCAAGTGATGGCTCATTCGATGCTTCTTCCAAAAATAACATTTAGTTGTAGCCCCTTGTGTGTAAGACTGTGAGCATGAGAATATGGTTCATCACAGAAGTAACACAGTCCCTTTAATCTCCAATCAGCCATGTACGCTGGAGTCAGATTTCTGTAAGGCTTTGCTCTATTCGAGGTAAGTTCTGATTGATTGTACTTAACCTGTTCTGTTGGTGTGGGCAACAAGGGTTTTGAATTCACAATGTTCATGCTGTTTCTTGAACTCAAAGAAAAGGTCTTTGAGGCAATCGCAATCGGTCCTTGGGGTTGTGAGGCCTCATACATCTTGGTCAGTGAGAATGCTCTCTGAACACTGTCGGGTCTAAACATGCGTACCATCATTTGAATTTCTTGTTTGAGTCCTCCCAGAAAGCAACTTAACCGGTATTCCTCTGTTAAGTCTAGTCTAGAAATTATTGCATCGAAAGTCTCATGATATTCACTGACCCCTTTTTCTTGCCTTAACTTCATAAGTTCTACCATAGGATCATCGCAAATATCTTCAAATCGATCCTGTAACATCTTCATATATTCCTCCTATGAAGGTCGTTGATTTGCCATATTCTTAGAATTTGCCGTTGCCACTGTAAGGGTTTGCCTTCAAGGTGAACAATTGCTAACAGGACCTTTACATCCTCCGGTGTGGCATCAATCAAGAAGTAATTTTTGCATTGATATATTCATTGATTGATGTTTTCGCCATTGAATCACGGAAAATCAATTCTTGCAAGTCGTGTCTCACAAGAATATTGATTTGAGCCTTTGTTACCATTGGAATTGTTGCTAAAGGAAGGTGAGTGACTTCCTGAATCAAACCGAGTCTTGAATAGGTTTTCCATCTTCTGCAATAATGCCTCAGATAAGCAATCTTGAATCATGTCGGCAAGTTGCATGATCGGTTTATCAATCTGCGAAGATAGCTTGGTCGCCAATCGTTTTTCCATGTCTGCCACGCTGTGTTGATTACGGGTTATGACCATGACTTGTCCATGCTGATACCAATGTTATGAATAAAACTAGGAATTCAATGAGAATTCGAAGAACATATGTTAGCCTTGGGGCATATACTGTAGGGATCAAATTATTGACTACTGGATTTGGGGCAACATGTTAGCTTTGGGTTTAGCCACACAAACATATACCATACTGATTGGCAAGGTCGGAATCCCTATATTATATTTTAATTTTTGTGCAAATTTGTAATTGAATGGCTGACAATCAAACATATGATTTCCTTTAGTTTTTCCTTTTTGTCCCCACTCCTTTCTTTTGGGTGGGCATGATAGAATGCAGGCTATACTGGCATTCTTCTTTTAAAATAGCAATGATGAGGTGCATTCTTTGTATCCTATTTATAAAATGACAAATTGCTAGAAAACCGAGGAAATAAAAAATAAATGCATTGGTATGGCCACACCGTAAGTTTGTGCTTAACTGTTTGCAACTAGATGCCTTTCAACTTTCTGGTAGAACCATCAAGATTCATTTTAACAACACGACCCGTTTGTACTCGCTAGTTTGCTTACCAGGTGTAAGTAACTAGGTCCAAAAGTATCATTATGTTCAAGGATGCTATGTGATTCAGATTGCTGCTAAGAGAATGATGTTTATGATGTTAATATAATGTACAAAGTTAGTAAAGCAAAAATGATGTTTATGATGTTCTTATTTAGAAACCTTTGCTTCTCTACATCACCTCCCGTCTTACCTTTTTGCCGTGAAACTAATACTATGCTGTGTATTTTCTATTTGTTAAACATATCCTTTGACCCTAACCCTCGTCTAGTACGCTTTTTGGCCTATAGAGCTCTTCATTTAGTGAGCCTTTTGGCATACAAGCTTTTTGGCCCTAACCAACACGGGTAGGGCTAAGACTGGTTAGTTGGACTTTTTGACTTATCTAATTGTCAATTAGTATCAGTTTGGTTCCAAGTTTGAACTTGTTTTCTTCGTAATTCCCCTTATAGAAGTGTTACCCCTTCAATGAAAACTTGAGGTATACAACTCAAAATCAAAGGCCTTTGATTCTGTTGAAAGCTAACTTGCATGGTTTTAACCTCTTAAAGTTCACATTCTATTTCACTGTATTGAAATACTAGATGATTGTATTCAAATTGGAGCCAATTTTCTGTATAATGCACAGTTGGGTTTTGAATACTTTTTGGTTGTTCTTATAACTTGGTGTATGTTTGGATGAGCATTTGCAAAATTGAGTTTGAATGAACTTCATTTTGTAGAAATGATTTTATTTGAAAGTGAGTTTAAAGTGATGTGATTTATATTTGAAAACTATCACTTAAAGGTTTGTTGAAAAATTCAGTATAAATAATTTTTCAACTGAACGCCGAAGCTATAATTTGTCATGTTGACTCAAGTGTAAGTTTAGAGATAAAATTAATTATGTCATACAATTGCCAAACATATTGGCACAAATTTCAAAACACGTTTACATCTTTAAACATGAGATTAGAAGCTTACATTGCTCATCCAAACATGCACTAGAATCGGTGTTTGTCCCTGATGTCTGTCATGTTTGAAAGTTAGATGGTTCTTCTAGGTTAGAAAAAGTTTGCAGGTTTGATTCAATTCCTGTGGTTTCTAGTGCACTTTTACAGAAGCATATCAAAATTCTATGACTGCAGTTAGTTTATGGACTATCACACGCCTATAGTAAGTAGCCTAGTGCTTACTTGGATCCGTAATAGTGATTTTTACTTTTTAAAATATTTTAATTATTATTTGAAAAAAATAGATGTCTCATGTTAGTTAGGAACAGAAGAAGAATGCTGCATATAAGGACTTAGGTAATTCTCCTCATAAAAACTAGTTTTTAGGTGTAAATTAGACCTAAGTTTCTTAATATGGTATGAACACCTATTGTAATCCGATAATATGCAAGTAGATTTGATAAGCAACCCTTGACTAAAAAAAAAAAACGATAGATCCTAAAAATATTTTTATAATTTAACACTCAGAGTCGTTGCTATGGAATAACTAAATGATTATAATTGACAAATTATCAAAATCCAAAATTAAAACAGGAGAAAAAAAAACACTGTTGTTTTATTGTAAATAGTTTTCAACGTTTTGAAAATTCAACAATTTTTAGGAAGTCTTTAATATTTAGAATTTTTTTTCTCTTTTCTATTTTCACTTATAAATATTAAAACAATGACTCTTCTCATGATAAAACTAAAATTTGAAAATTTACTTTCAATTCAAAATTAAGAATGAAAGTCTAAAAACTTATAAAAAGTAAACATAAATTGAAACTATACAAAACATTAATTTATATTTTACATTTATAAACTACAAGAAGTCAAATTAGTGTATATTTGTTTTATATCAATGGTTACATAAATACCTTTATAATTTGGTCCTAAATAAATACGCAGATCAGTACCTTTGTTATAAGTAATCACTAATGGGGGAAGTGTGCGATTTGGCGACTAACAACACTTGTCTCTGTTCGGCATTCTTTAAGTAAGAGGGAACACCACCTGACCTCAAAGATCTTCAAGTTGGTAAGACCATTCATTCCTTTGGGGAGCGATGCCAAATTTGGGCAACGGTAGATGTCGATGTGCTGAAGCGATGAGAGGTTGCAAATCCAGTCTGGCAAAGCATCTAGCCTTTGACACTTATGTATGCTGATTTTTCGCAGAGAAGGAAGGCAGTTGGGGTCGTCCCTAAACCCAATTTCAAATTCCTCAAGTGTTTCACTGTCACACCATTGAATTTGAAGACACTCGAGAGAAGTCAGATTTTGCATCCAACCTTTTGGTAAATTCAGGGACGGGAGACGTTCAAGCGGTGGGAGACAGCGACAATTATCAAGTTCATAGAGACAAATGTCAACAACATTGCACATACATACTAAATATATGAATTAAAATAATTACTGATTAAACAAATATGTTACTACTATGCAGAAAAAATTAAATACTACCATTATAAATATTTTTTTTACCTATTATTTAAGAAAATTATGAAATCATAGTATTTTAAAAATATGAGCCTAAGACAAATATAATCTAACTTGCATTCAACAAGTACCAAGTCAATTTTATAGAAGAAATTGAATTCTTATAAACTTTCTTTGGGAAGATGTCTGCTTATTATGACCAATCAAAACAAACCTAAATAGATGCAGTCACACAATAGGATTTAACCAAGCTGCTTCGTCACCTTAAGTATCTTTACACCATTTCTGACAACTTCAACAAGAGCAATACAAATGAAAAAAAATTATTATTGGGCATTATTTTAGCAAATATATTTGTGGGATGTGTGCGATTTGACGCCTGACAGCACTTGTCTCTGTTTGGCATTCTTTAACTAAGAGGGAACACTCTCTGACCTCAAAGATCTTTAAGTTAGGAAGACCACTCATTCCTTCGGGCAGCGATGCCAATTTTGGGCAGTATGAGATTTTGATATGCTGAAGCGATGAGAGGTTGCAAATCCAATCTGGCAAAGCCTTTAGGTTTTCACAATCATATAATGAAATTTTCCGCAGAGAAATAAGGCAGTCGGTGTCGTCCTTAAACCCAGTTCCAAATTCCTCGAGTGTTTCAGTTTTATACCATCCAACTCGAAGAGACTTGAGAGAAGTCAGATTTTGCATCCAACCCTTTGGTAAATTCATAGGATCAGAAATCGTCAATTTTTTGAGCATGGAAAGAGGAGCAGCGGAGGAAGATGAGTCAACTGAACATGTTGAATTTAGTGTTCCTGTTAATGGCTCCGCACTGCTATGAAGCCATTTTAAATCCTTAACGTTTGGAAAAGTAGGCATGCAAGTCAACTGTGGACATTCAGAGACAATTAGTAGAGAAAGAGGAGGAAATGAAAGAGGTAAAGAGAGATTATGTGAATCATTTATATCATCTCCCCGCCTCCGCCATCCCCTGAGCTTGGGACAATGAAATAATGTGAGGCTCTCCAAAGAGGGGAAGAAGGTTACTGCAAAACCATCTTTGTAGAGATATATGTATTCCAATTCATAAAGATACCGCAGAACAAGTGACTTCAGGGATGGGAGAAGTTCCAACGGTGGGAGACACCGACAACTAACAAACCCAAAGAGAGTGATGTTAACAACATTTGTGAGGAGAGAAAGCCAATTTGGGAAAAGCACCCCTGGATAATAAAACACCTCCAAATGCTTAAGATTACGGTGGGGTTGAAGGTTTTCCAACAATTGTAAGCTGTCACTGTCACTGTTACGGATGTCTCTGTGCTCTTCAATGGACCATCTCAGAGTCAGGGATTGAAGGAATTTTTTTTCTTTTAAATTTACGTGCTGTGATTCCAGAGCCACGTCTCTGACCCGATCGAGATGCTTAATCTTTAATTCTCCTCTTAGGTTTAAGTTCTTCAGTTCATTTAGTGTGCCATATTTTATTTCTTGGCTGTCTCCCACAAGAAACGTCGATAAGAATTGCAAAGAGCATAATTTTCCCAACCCAACTGCCATCCCACTCATCATGGAGCGATAACCAGCAATATCAAGGCACCTCAAGTTGACTAATTTTGTGACTACTTCTGAAAATGATTCTTCATCACAATCGCACAATTTTAATGTTTGTAGGAAAACAAGATTGCTCATGGATTTGGGAAGACTTGTTTGCTGCGTTAAATCAAGGTATCTTAAATGCTTCAAATGTTCGGTGGAATCAGAGAGATGAGGCGTCCTCAAGACAAGTAAGTATTTGAACTTTGCAATAACAGACAAATATTCCTCTTCTTCCCAGTAATACGGCAAAACCAAAGGCAAAATCAAAGTTCGCAGCCTGCTCGGATCTAATGATTTCAACAAATGAATGGTCTCATAAGATTCCAATGATACGTGCATGGGTCTACCTTCAACTTTTTCTGCCTTACTATCCAAGTAACAGCAATCATTGCCAGAAACAAGCATTGCAAGATCATGAATTAAATCATGCATTTTGAAACAAATGATCTCACCATGGTCATTACTTTCTGCATCTTGAAAAAATGAGTTCATAAAAAACATCTTTACAAATTGATTACCGACATCCTCCATCTGCTGTTTTTCAGTTGAACATTTAAGGTAACCCTGTGCCATCCATAACTGAATCAACTCATCCTTTCGAATAATCCAATCCTTGGGGTACAAGGAGCAATAAGCAAAACATTGTCTCATTTCTGGTGACAAGTTGCTGTAACTGAGTTTTAGAATTGGCATAATACTATCTTGCTCTTCACATAATTTCCAGAAGTCACCGCGTGAAACATTCTCCCATACACTTTCTTCGTTTTGTCCTCGTAAAAGGCCTCCCACGGTTTTAACTGCCAGTGGAACCCCTTTACATTTTTTGGCTATTTCTTTCCCCATTGATTCTAGATTTTGATTCACTCCTTTGAAATCATCCTCAAATGCAATGCTCTTCAACAAAGTCCAAGATGCTTCATCACTCAAACCTTTCAAAGGATAGGAAGTGCTAGCTGTCATTGCCTTAGCTACATTTTCACTTCGAGTTGTCACTAAAATCTTACTATCTTCAGCGCCACACATCAAGTACTTTCTCAATTCAATCCATTTGTCACGTCTCTCATTCCAAATGTCATCCAGGACCAACAAATATTTCTTGCCACTCATCTTTTCATTAAGTTTTCTTTGCAAGTTGCCCAATGATAATTCAACTTGGTCGCCGGTAATTGATTCTAATATTTTCTTCAGAATAGTTTTCACTTCAAAGTTATCAGAGACACACACCCACATTTGCATTTCAAAAAAATTCTGCACTTCCAAGTCATTATACACCAATTGTGCAAGAGCTGTCTTCCCCAAACCACCAAGGCCAACAATGGCAATCACAGAAGCTTGTTGGTTTTCATGAGGTTGTCTCAACAGACTAATAATCTCCTTTTTACTATCATCTCTTCCAATGATATCTGTCTCTAACACAAAAGAACACGTTTCCCTCCATCCACTGTCAGTTTGCTTGACTACAACCGATCTTGGGCATAAATTCAATTTATACATGCCTTTTACAACAGCATCAAAACTTTCTCGTGTCTTTTTAATTTCTTCGGCCATTTGAATGGGAAAATCAATTCGATTTGAAGATGAAAAGGAATAAAGTACCTTGTTTTCTTGTTTTCCATGTCCTTCATCCAATTTGTGTCGCATAAATTCGATAGCAAGGTCATCCAACAAGTCATCTGCGCAATGAAGTACTTCTTTGAAGTCCATTATCCAATTTCGCACACGAACTTGATCCTGTTTGTGGTCAGCATCAAGGAGCACATCATTGATAGATTCAATTGTCTTCTTAAGCTCTTCCAACTCTTCCTTCACATCATACGCTCCTCCAAATTCAATTAAATCCGCGGAGGCCAACCTGTGAATGAGATGTCAAGCGACTTAGCCATCCTTAAAATGACTGAGAAAGTCTGTAGAAGGCTATAATAAATATTTTACTATCCTCATCTGTCACATCACACACCTTATCATTATTGAAGACTATAATAAATATCTTTTTGTTTTTTCTTTTAAAAAATTCTGATCAAATGACATTATTGTTAAATTTTTTATAGCATATGAATATTTACATCTAAAGATGTTTTTACCATCAAGTTATCATTTATAGTTAATATTAAATATGATTAAATTATATGTATTAAATAAACGTTTTAATTATTGATTTTAATAAATATTTGTTAAAAATTGAAATGTAACGAAAAAGTGTTTGAAGCAAATTTGCTGTCAAGAGAAGGGATGTTTCTAATATTTAACTGCATAACATAATTGTAATAATGGCAAGTAATGTGTGAATTTGGTCATTCTTTAAAAAATATTTTTTAGGAATTATATTTTTAATAAATTATTTTAATTTTTTATATTAAAGATAACTTATTTAAATCAATTTTAAAATTTACAGATGATCGCCACAATGTTTTTATTTTATTTTATAACATTTTAATGCCTTAATAATTGAAAACTATACATACATTAATATTTTTACACATAAATTATGAAACAAATTTTTACTTTTTTTTCTGCTTAAATAAATATTTTAATTTTTATAATTTTAATAGAAACCCCACAAAGGCAATGGCATAAAATAAACTATCAATATAAATAAATTATAATATAAAAATATTTATAAATAATATTTTCAGATAATAAAATAATTTTTTTAAAAAATATATTATTTTAAAAAAAATCATAAAATTTAAAAATGTGGTCAAATATTTTCTTATCCTGTTTAAAAAAAATAATATAATAATTTAATCACAATATTATATTATCTATATATATAAAACTATAAAATCAAAATAGAATAATTATTTGTAGTATAAAATTTTGAAAGTAATAAAATAATATTATACAGCTAAAAAACGAACAATAAAATTACAAAATATTAGTAACATGATTTGTCTAAGTATTCATTTGTTATTTTTTTTATCATGTTTCTTAAATGTATACATTATTATTTTATTTTAATATTAATTTCTTATTTTAAATTTTTAAAGGAATCATACAAAAGAATTATTCATTATTTTATCAATCATGAACATTATACAATAATAATAAAAACTTAATTAAAAAGAATTTCTTGACATGATAAAAAATTAATTATAATTTTTATTATAATGAATTAAATATAAACTCATACCAATTAATATAAAATTGATTAATTATAATTAAATATAAAATATTAACATAATATATTTTTTAATACTTTATCTAATATTTTATACCTGTTAAAAATATATCTTTTACTTAATTTATTTTAAATTAATAATTTTGATATTTTTAAATATATGTAAACACTTTTATTTCTACAATTTATTCAAATTTTAATACCTATTACTTTGTTTGGTTAATATAATTTTTGCTTGTTTTTATATTTTTTATTATTACGTTGTGTTTTTATTTTCAATCAATGTAATATCATTTTTGATACTTTTAGTATTTATATTTTAAAAAAATATAAAATAATTGATACAAAATATGAATACTATGGTTTATTTAAAAAAATTAAATAAAGACACACACGTGTATGTATATTATATTTTATATATATTTAAAAATATCTCCTAATTATTAGTTATTGCCATTATCTCTATTATTATTAGAAGATAATCTAAAATATGAATATTATATTTTATTATTTTTATAATTATTGTCGTTATCTTTATGATCGTTAGAAAAATAATTTAAAATATTATATTATTTAAATATTAATATTTGATTCCTATGTATGTATGTAAATTATAATATATAATGATAGGATACAATTCAAAATTTTAAATTGGTATAAAAGCCTTTGATCCAAGCGTTTTTATTTTTACATACTCAAATAATTGTTTTTTTTTTCTATTTTAATTACCACTACCACTATCATCACTATTACTATGGTTGGACAATTAATTAACTTCGTCACTATGTGATGAAGTATAAGCTTTTGTGTCTGTCTTGCCATGATTGGTAAGAATTACAATTTATCTTCTTCAAATACCTTATATTTTGTATTTGAGGATTTTTGAATAATTGACTCTGGTGCTTCCGATCATACGACTCCTAACATTTCTTTTTTTTACTTTTTATTCCACTTTATTTGGTACACATTACATTATAGTTGCTAATGGTTTAAAACTCCCATTCTTAGTTATGGTAATATTTAACTCACTACCTCTTTTATTAAAAAAAATGTTCTTTATATTTCTTAACTCTCCACTAATCTTATCTCCATTCATAAATTCACTAGTGATCTAAATTATGCAGTAACCTTTTTTATTTTTCACCTCATTATGTTTTTCAGGATCTTGTCTTAGGGAGGCTTCCCCTCTCCCTCGAAGGAAATGAAATGATATTTTTGCAGATAAAATAATAAAGAATTAAATTAACCAAATTTAAATAGTTATATTACTTTCTGTCAGTGAAAACTAAAATCCAAAAATAATTTTGAAATAGGGAGACTCAAATTTTGTAACTAACCTTCTTGTGAATATGACTCTTCTCAATTTGTCTTCAATGTAAGTGTTTAGGTCATGTACATTCTAGATTGCATAAAAATATGTTGTTTCCTTCTTTATTTTTGAAAGAATAAGTTGAATTTTTTTAATGTGATGTTTGTTAAACATCATCGTGTTACTTTTTAAGTTGAATTCTAGATTGCCCCTTTTGATTTATCCATTTTGATGTATGGGGATGTGATTCTATTGCTAACTTTTTATAGTGCTTAATGGTTTGTATTGATGATTACACACTTATGATATGGATCCTTTTCATAAAGGATAAAAAAGAAGTGACTCAATAATTTGTGAATTTTTATCACTTACTTCAAACTCATTTTGAATAAGCAATTAAATGTTAATGGGCAAAATAATAGATAAGCATATGTGAACTAAAACTTGTTTCAATTGCTACAAGAAAATAGTATTTTTCATGAGTTGACATGTTTAGATACTCTTCAACAAAATGTTGTTGTATAAAAAAAAATAAAATTGACATCTCTTAAAAGTTATAGAACTTTGTTATTTTATATGACAATGTCAAAATCATATTGAGAAGAATTTTAAGGACTACTTACTTATCAATAGGTTGTCAAGTCACATTTTGAATGATTTTAGTTTGGTTTAGTCTATGTCTACTTTTCATCCTTTTGTTCATGTCCTAAACAACCTTGAAGTTTATGTCTTTGGTTGTATTGTTTTTGTTTCATGTTCAAAGTCAACATTGTGACAATTTAAATCCTTATGTTGTTAAGTATATTTTCATAGGATATACTCCAAATAAAAAAGGTTGTACATATTATCATAAATAAAAAAGGTTGTACATATTATCATCCTTTGAGTTTCAGTCTATGTTTCTATAGATGTCACCTTTAATAAGACAAGTTTTAGTCACATATTCAACTTTATGGGGAGAGTCATCATAAGGTTAAGTCTAGTGGTCCTTATAATATTTATCTGTTCTTCCTCTTAACCCTTATCATTTGTAGGAATTTACTCTCCTTCCTCCAACTCAAGAAAAGAAGAAAGTGACTCATTGCAAACAAAAGCAAGCACACCTATCTTGAGGAGAAGAAAACATGACTTTATCCAACGAAAACTCAGTCAATTGAACCAGAGGTAAGTTTAAGTACTATTAATCTTGAGTTATTAAATGTTCTTTTAAACAATTATGAGTCTAATATATATTATTTTCCCATTGCTTTGCAAAATGAAAAATGTTCCTATGCCAAGTATCATATTTCTCAGTTTATATCTACTTAACATCTATTTGTACAACATCAGAGGTTTATCTCTACTATTGATTTTTCAAATATCCCTAAGTCAGTTTATAAAAATAATTGTGAGGGTTAAAAATAACAAGGGTTGTTAGATATTAAGTAGGAATGTAGTTAATTTCGTCACTTTCACTTGTATAAATAGTATTATCCTATTGTAACGTAGATTGATAATCTTCAATCTAACAATTGGTATCAGTTTGTCGGGCAACGATGGAAGGCAATACAACCAATAAGGATTTGGAGCATCGGATCGAAGGTCTGGAGAAGCTCTTGGAGAATTCACAGCGCGAAAACCACAAGATTCATCAAGAAACTTAAACGGCCATTGCAGAATTAGAAAAAAATCATAAGTTGACGATGGATTCTATACATTCTATGATGGAGAAACTCTTAAAACAAGTTCAATTGATGGGTAGAAAAGCACATTCAGAAGATGAGGAAGAGGTGGTCAGCGATGCACATTCGAGCAAGATTTTGGATAGAGCACAGATTCCGTTTCCTACTTTTGATGACATGAATTATCACGAATGGAGAGCCAAATCTAAACAGTTCTTTGAATTGGAGAATACGCCTCATGATCAACGGGGAAAGCTTCTGTTATTGTCAATGGAAGGGAAAGCATTTGTGTGGCAAAGGCATTACACGACTCATACCAACAATAAGGTGAAATCTTGGCAGTAGATTCTTTAGGATGTGGCTTCAAGATTTGACATGGGCAATTATGATGATCCCATATCAGAATTATCTAAACTACACCAGGATGGTACTTTGCTTGGTTATTTTGAAAAGTTTGATCAATTATTAGCTAGAGTAGATGTTACTGAAGAAATGGCTATCAATTTTTTCTTGGAAGGTTTACATGTTTCATTAAAAAAATCAGTCCATATTCCCTATTCCATTGATTGAAAATTTGTTGGATGAGTTGGAAGGTGCCACTTATTGTTTTAAGTTGAATTTGCGAAGTGGGTATAACCAGATTCGTATGTGGGAGTCTGACATTCCTAAAACTGCATTTAGGACTCATAATGGACACTATGAGTGGGTGGTCCTTCCTTTTGGATTAACCAATGCACCGGCTACCTTCTAGAATTTGATGAATGATGTTTTTTGGCCTCATTTACAGAATTTCATCTTAGTCTTCTTTCATGATATTTTGATTTATTAAAAAACATGGAGAGAACACATGGAGCATCTTTCCTTAGCCTTGCAACTTTTAAGAGCTAAAACACACTAGTTCTGCACAGAAAAAAAATGTAGTTTTGCTAAACATCAAGTTGAATACTTGGGCCATGTAATTTCTAAATTAGGAGTAGCTCTTGATGCAAACAAGATAGAAGCAGTCCAAAAGTGGCCAAGATTGACCACAATCAAACACCTGAGAGGGTTTTTGGGTTTGTCGGGGTATTATAGGAGGTTTATCATGAATTATGGTAAGTTGGCACAACCTCTAACATCACTTCTTAAGAAAGACGTAGAATTTTAGTGGAATGAAGCAACTGAGAAAGCAGAAACCTAACTCACTTTTAGTTTTTAGAAAGTTTTTGTAGATGTTTTTGTAAACTTTTGGTCAAGATAAAGATTTTACTATTTATTTTATTTAATTTCATATCTTATATTTTTTACTCAGTCTAGAGTTCTTTTATAGGCCATGATTATTTTATTTTTTTGAATGGATAAAATTTCTATTTTTAATTTTTGAGTAATATTGTCTTTCAATTTGTAATTCTTTGTTTTTAAAATTTTTTTTAAGCCCAATAAAATGTTGAAAATTGTAATATAAATATTTATGTTACTTAAATAAAAGAATATATATTTAAAGATATAAAAATTTATCTAATTAAATTTATTTTACAAGCTTAACATAAAAATATATTTACTAATATAGTAAACCATAATTTTTTTCACATTTTTAATAGAATTTTTTTTATTTTATATTATTTAATTAGGCTAATACAATTTAAGTATTATATAGTTGATATGAGATTGACTTTTTTTAAAAATTTATTTATATATGACATATACAAAATATTTAGAAATTTAGTAATTAAAATTATGTAATATTATATTGACTTGAGTTAAATAAGGTTTTTAGTTTTAGTTCTAGCTTTGATATAGGTAATAATAAATGGAAAATGTACATGGAATAACTTCTTCAAGAGAATCTGAAAGTAATTTTTCTCCTATTATTTCCATTACTCTTACACAAAATGCTTTTAAAAGTGTTTTTTTTTTTAGGTCTTGGAGAATGACAGTACAACACTACAAGTTTATGAGTTGGTTGTTTTAGAAGATCTTGAAGATTATGTGTAAAATTTTGCTTATAATTTTTCAGTACTTTAGTCTAGAAAGTTGATATATTAAGATACGCTTAATATTTGTGATCTTTGAATATTTATTTTTTATCTATATTTAAACTTTGTTTAGTAGTTATGTATCAAACTTTTATATTATTATGCTATTTATGTAAAATTATATAAGCAAATTTTTTTATAAGTATTTTTTTAGGCAAGCGCAAGTAATAAGAGCGGATATGAGTATGCAGGTGGGTACAAGTATGGGGATTAAATTATTATCCATGCGGGTACGGGGTTGGGTATGAATATTTTTTTAAAATGTGAGTACGAGAATGATCATTATAGTATCCTACCTATATCCTACTTATTGTCATTCCTAAATTTAACTATATAAAATAATTATAAAAACAATAAAAGTTAAAATAAAATAATAGGTTAGTAAATTAAAAATATCATCTCATTGATATTTAATAGAGATATAATGATATTAATTATTAAGAATTTAATTAAAAAGATAAAATTATAATGATTTAATTAAAAAAATTTAACTATAAGGAGTTAATTAAAAATAAAAAGAATCTGTGTGGAATTATAGTTCATCTTTTTTTATTTAACTTCTTTTACAAACTATTTCACATTATACATAGGTTTTTCTCTTCTTATTATCATGATTGAGTCGTGGTATTAATTAATAAATATAAACAATATCTTTATAAATTAATAATATAATTTGAGTCAACCCAATATTTATATTTATTAAAATATTAGAATCATAATTGATGAAGAAACGATAAAAAGAAAATTCTTCTCGGCAATAAATAGAATATTAAATTAAAATTTTCTATCATAAAAGATGCATATATTACACTACTCTCTCTTCTATTTTAAAACTATATAACTTTATTTTTTTAAAAATTAAAATGCATCACAATTTAATCCATTTTTAAATTTTTCTTTAAAGCATTATTTAATTCTATTTTAAATTTTTTTACTAAAATAAATTTTACACTTTTTTTTGTTAATTTTTTAAAAAGATGAACGAGCTTAACGTATATTTTTATGAAATTGTAAACACTTGTTGTTATAAAAATTTTAAAAACTTATCTATGCAACAAATAATGAAATAAAGCTAAATATTCTTACCTTTGATGAAAATGTACAATTGATATAAATAACTTACAACTTTAACATATTAAAAACTGGTGAAGTAAAAAAAAATTAAAAAAATAAAACATTTAAATGAAGATTAGACTATAAGTAAAAAAATAAAAGAAAATTAGGACATACAAGTGTTTAACAATGCTTTACAAAAATCTTAAAATGGATTAAATGTAATATATTTTAATTTTTTTTTTATGAGAAGACGTTATATAATTTTAAAATAAAAATGAGAGTAATATAATATACATATCCTTATTCAATACTTTTAAAAAACTGAAAATGTAATTTAGTCCAGCTTGATATTTTTTTTTTGATTAATTTATTGAAATATTAGAGTTAAGATTGATTGAGAAACAATAAAACGAAAATTCTTCTGGATAGTAAATAAAAGATTAAATTAAAATTTTTTCTCTTAGAAGATTCATATTACACTACTCTCTTTTATTTTAAAATTATATAATTTTTTAAAAATTAAAGTAATCACAATTCAATCTATTTTAAACTTGTCGTTATAGCATTAATAAATATTTATTTGATTTTTTTTACAAAAATAATTCTTTTAATAAGTTTACCCTTTTGCAAAAGGCTCAACGAACTCATCAATGTACTTTTTATGAAACAATAAGTACTTATTATTGTTATAAAAATTTTAAAAGTTTGTGCCAAGAGTAAATAATGAAATAAAACTAAACAAATTCTTAAATTTGATGAGTTACAACTTTATTTGGCCTATTCAAAGAAAAAGGTAAAGTGCAAAATTTTTTAAGAAATGAAGGCATTTAAATAAAAATTAGACTATAAAAAAAATATAAAATATGACGTTTTCAAATTTTTATGGGGAGAGATATATAATTTCAAAAATAGAAAAGATAGTATCATAATATATCCATTTGTTCTGAGAGAAGATTGTAATTTCCTCAGAAGAAAATGATTGTGGTATTTTTACATGACATTATCTATTCTAATAAAATATTTTTTAAATAATATATTAATAGATCACATGCCAAACATCAGAGAAATTAAGAAACAGAGACATAAAACTGTGTTAAAAGCAATTAGAAGTCAAGAAATATGAAATAAACAGAGATTAGAAAATAGAATAAAATAAAATACAAACTAAACAATTTATATGAAAGAATAAAAAGCACAGATGATTAACCGTGTGTTTGGTGCAAAGTTAATGAGTACGCCTTGGAACAGCAATGGAAAGGTGCGCTGAATTGAGTTAAAGGTTGAAGAAAGGCTGAGGAAACGAACCTGTGAATGAGATTTGAAGTAACAGCGAATGGAATTGATTCAGCCATGATCGAGAGAGAGTGTATCGAAAATAAAGCTGCAATGTGTAGATTTTGAGATTGGAAACGGTGAAAGCAAAAACCCTAATCGCATATGTAACGAGTTGATGAGTCAGTCAACCCATATATAATTTATTAATTCAATGCTTTCATCTAATCTTCCATTATTTATTCGTTTAATGCTTTGATCTTATCTTTAATCAAATAATACACATATATAATAAAAATGTTTATAAAATTGTCTGAGACTTGACTCCAACTCATCAAATAATGTAAAGATAGAGAAAAATTAATATTTAAAGTAGCATTTACGAATAAAAACATGGTGGTTGGTTGGTATCTAAATGTGACAGTGAAATTTTTTTTTATGAGAATTAATATTAAAAGCAGCAATATTCAGAGAGATTAAATTCTTATTTAATTTTATTTTTACATTTATATTTAAAAATGTAAAACTTTTACATTAATAATTAACACTTCATTTTATTATAAATTTCACGACACACAAATTGAAAACTAAATAATTAAATTTGATAACAATTTTTCTTCGTAAAGAAAAGCATGTAAGATTTGAGAAATATGAAAAATGTAACAATTGTTTTTTTCTAAAAATTGTAAGTGAGAGAGTATATTTATTTTTCTTTTTAAAAACAATTTTCGGTTTTTAAAACTAAAATATAATACAAATTTATATTATACTTTAATTTTTCATTTTTTAGAGACATTTTGAAGGTATAAGAAACTTTTAAGAATAATTTATTATTTTTATATAGGGAGGCAGTGGTGTAATCAATTTGTTAAGGATCAAAATAATTTTTTTTATTTTCAAATTTATATCATTTTAGTGCTTGATTGGTTCAGCCTTCGATAGCAATACGTCAAATTCTGAAAAGAAAATCACTAGTGCCAAGAAATAATGCACGCTTTACAAAAACATGGTGAGCAACATACTCCTCAGGTATTTTTTTTTATAAAAAATAAAAAATTAAATTATTAGAATTAAAAAAAATAATTAAATCAGTTATATTTTTTTATTAATATAAATTTTATTTTAAAATTATTTATAATATTAAATAGTATAGTTAATAACATACTTAAAAAATAGTCCATTTCATAAACATACATTTAACAATAAAAAAAATATAAAAAAATTTAACAATTAATACATCTTAAATTTATCTTATATTTCTTATAATTAGAAGAAGAAAAAAAACTTCATTTTGATCCTTGCAAAAATGGAGGGAGAACATTACATGATATGATCCTATCTGAATGGAGGACCAAGAACATTCAACAAAAGAGAATCAAACACCGATAAAAAATGACATGATTACATAAAAGATAGATACTAATTTAGGTTAAAGAATTATTATAGAGCTTATGCAAAGATTAATTTGATGAATCTTTGTTACTTGGAAGACATGCATCCACCTCCTTTAATTGAATGTATTATCTAGTGCTATGAAAAAGAAACTATTCACCTCAAATACCGTCAATCATATTTAATTCAGGATAATACATTTTTATTATTCAAGTTAAATAAGTTCAAATTAACATATACTGAAAATGCTAAACAATTTAATTCCATTTGCATATTAAATCAACCTTCACCGAGAAAGGATAATTTAATCTCAAATTGAAAGAAATAACACTTGCCTTATCACTTTTGCAAGATTTGAACTCTCATTTATATAAATAAAATTTGACATAATATATATATATAATGATTGCAATTTTTATATTTATTTGATTTTAACAAAATTTAATACAGATAATATAAATATAATTCAACAATTAAATTAAAAAATATATATTTTATGCAAAATTGTAAATTGATGTAATTTATATTGGTCTAATTTTATCTCTCTTCTTTCTCTCCTTATTTAACTTCCCAATATTGTGCAACAAAAAAAAAAAAAAAAGACTAAAAGGGCTCATTGTCTTTTATATTTCCACCTTGCTTAAAATGACGTGAGAGCACCATATTGTGCCTGAAGAGTAATTCCTTGAGCTGGAGCATGAGTATAGCTCGGATAAAGTTCAAACGAGAAGTGTTGTAAAATCATTGATAAAGCCATCTTCCACCTCTGACAATATTTATACTAATTGTAAGAATTAATTAATGGCATACTTTTTAACAAAATAATAATTTTCTTGACATGTGAAACATTGTATAGATTTAATATGGTAATATTATTAAATGTTACATTTTTTAATTAAAGCTTATTATATATAGATAATAAATAAATAAATAATAAATTAATTACAATCCTAAAAAGAGACATTTCTTATTTTAGTATATTGGAGATTATGACCAACTTTATAATTTTAAATCTATAAGGGTTCCCATCAACCTTAACAAGTCAAATCCAGTCTTCACTTATTGAGTCCATATTCCTTTATTCATATTAATTATTTTTAATCATAGTCTAAAGGCTCACAAAAATTAGATCACTATTATTGAGTCTAACAAAATGTAAATAGCTAATATAAATGTTATAAATAATATGTATTGCTTATATTAACTATTAGAAATAATTTTTTTTAACAATCTCTCACTTGGGCTTCATATTCATTTAAGCATTTATATCACAAAAGTCTTTATGTGTGCAACTGTATACTATTCACTTTTAGACTCCTTTTAAATAATCTGGTCTATCTCATTCAACAACAGGAACCACTGCAGCTTTTATCATCACTCAAAGTGACTAAACCATAATGATTACCACAATTATATGTACTCAATGACATAAATCAAATATAGATAAGTGGCATGAAAATTACATGCAATGTGATCTTAGTCATGTCTGTTTTCAACTGGTCCAAACTTTATTCTTTATAGAGATCAATCTAGAATGCAATATAATTATTGCAAAAAATTAAGTAAAGCAAAATGATAAACACCAACATTATTCTATAGAAGATGCGAAGGAAAAATAAAACATACAGTGTATATGGGATGCGTTAAAACAAGCAATGAATCAACAACCATGGTTGAAGAAGCCATAGTTTATTTAACAAACTTCCAGGAGATGCGAAGGAAAAATAAAACATACAGTGTATATGGGATGCATCAAAACAAGCAATGAATCGACAACCATGGTTGAAGAAGCCATAGTCTGTTTAACAAACTTCCAGGATATAGCTCCTCCAGCCAACTTAAAGATATTTCCATATCTGGAGTATTTGCTGTCTTGACATCCAACAAATTAAATCAGAGTTAGATCACTTAATGATCTCAAAACCATCATACTTCTGATAAGTGAGCATATACCACTTTTGTTCTCTTCAAATAGCGCATTATACGCTTTACTGCCTTCCAATGCTGCATCCTAGGATTGCTTAAGTTTCTACCCAAAACTCTAACTATAAATGCTATATTAGGTCTAGTGCAAACTTGAGCGTACATTAGACTTCCCACAGCTGAAGCATAGGGAATATTTTGCATCTTATTTCTTTCAAGGTCATTATTAGGACACTGTTTGAGACTAAATTTGTCTCTCTTGGCTACAAGGGTGTCTCTTAGTTTACTATCTTTCATGCCGAATCTATCCAAACTTTTTCAATATAGCTCTCTTCTAATAACCTTAGGATACCATGAGAACGATCTCTTAGTATCTTAATACCTAATACAAAAGAGACTTCACCAAGATCTTTCATTTCAAAATTTTTTGTTAAAAAATCTCTTGGTTTCATGCAATATGCCTATATCGCTGCTAATAAGTAGTATATCATCGACATATAACACCAAGAACATATGTTTACTCCCTATGAACTTATAATAAATAAAATCATCAACTTTATTTGCTTTAAAATCATATGAGATAACAATTTGATGAAACTTGTAATACTTACACAATATCCTGTAAAGAAACTACTAATTGTTTTATGAACGATGAAAGGTAGTAAGTCTTCATCATCTTATCAAATTTCTTAAGTTTCTGACATTATTAAAATTTCAAAATTTTGCGACGGATTTTATTTTTGCCAAAACTTAATGAAACTTGTAATACCATTTACAGTAAGCTTGTTTGAGACCATAGATAGATTTCTTTAGTTTGCATTCCATAGATTTTGAGTCACCAAACACAATTTTCTGTTTGCATCATATAGATCGTATCTTTAATGTTACCATTTAAAAACGTAGTCTTAACATCCATCTGATGAAGCTGTAAATCATAATGAGCTGTCAGTGTTATTATTATTCTAAAAGAATCCTTTGATAAAACTTAGTGAAAAGGTTTCTTTGTAATCAATGCCTTCCTTTTGAGTGAAACCTTTAGCAACTAAAGGAGCTTTGTAACACCCTACATTTCTCCGTTTTAAATATATTCATTTTCATAAAATTTTGGAAAGAATAACCAAACTTTCCATTTAACCATTAATCGAATTTACAAAAATAAGACCTTTCATAAAAGTAAACTCATATAAAAAAACTTTAAGAAAACTTACTGCATGAAATATATTACAATTTAATATTTACATATCATTATTCAAAATAGATCAAAATTTACAGCAATTTGTACTCCTTTCCACAAACTGAGGAACTAAAACTAATCATCTATATTATCTTAGTCTTCAATTACTGCTAAGTTCTCAACGGTTAATTCATTATCCTTTCCAAGATAGGCGTCACTAGAGTCCACCACCAATTTTATACTAGGGAATCTCTCGAATGTGTAGCTATTAGGTCTTCCTTACAAATCATGATCATGATAAGTGAATATGTTATTCATGATCCAAGAATGCCTTTCGATTCCCAGGTATAGATAAAAATCAAAAGACTGATGAATTTGACCACTAGTTGGAAAATAAAAAAGAATTGCATAATTATAGATTACTTCTAATGTATACTCCTATTTCCAAAATATACTCTAAAATATAAATGTACAATGTGTCTATATTCCCTAAATGCATAATGTAATCTACTACTAGCATAGACATCTACTATATCAATCCGCATAGGATGAGTTATCATCTTTACTACGTGTATGATGGTGTCAAGGTAA